GAGTAGTATATATATATATATATATATATATATATATATATATATTATTTTTTTTTTTAAAGAATATTAAGATTGCAAAATTGAACACTCAAAAGTGAGGAAATGCCAGAATTAAGGTTGCCTGCATGAAATTAATTTGGCCCCCTTTTGCTTAGGCATTATGACAGTCTTTAATTACATGATCATACTGTTACAGGGTCCTTTGGAAAGTACGTACTGAGTCAGGAGCTGACTCAATCTGAGACTCAACTCCCCACCAATATATGTTTATTGAGACCAGTGAAGTGAATAGAGCTATGGCTGAGGGGATAATTTGAGAGGGAAGCAACCCTAGCAGCTGGAGTATATAAATTGAGAGGAAGAAAGCTCAGGGGAGAGCAGAGAGCCCGAGGAAGGCAGAGATAGTCAGAACTGGCTGTTGCTAGTCCTGTTCCCATCCCCAGAAGTAAGTGGGGGAGATGGCTGGGGGAGGGTAAATATATGTAAATAGTACTACAGGTGGTGACCTGCTTGACCACCACAATAAAACACAATGCTGGTGAAGGATAACTGAAGTGGTGTGACAGACCCATCTCATTCAATGCACAGGATGGACAGTACTCAGGGAATGAACCAGGATTGTATAATGAAGACGACTTATCTGTAGGACCCTCTACCTCATCTGTTATAGAAGTAGGAAGTTATGCAGCAAATGAGGCAGGGGATTCAAAAAAGAAAAATGAAGGTGTTGTTTCAGCTGCCTTAACCACCGCTCTGGAGAACTGGATTCTATCCCTGCCTCTATCATGTGAGCTGTGAGATTCTGGGCAAGTCACATAAACCAACATTTTCACAGGTGGCCATTAACTGTGTTCCTCATTTTCTGCAGACCCAATATGAGATACCTGGGGATTGATTTGCAGAAGTGCTTAGCATTCTTAATTGCAACTCAATGGGACGTGTGGTCTGAACATATCAAGGCCTATAAAACTTATCACCCTTGACAATTTTGGACTTCACTCCCCATGTGTAAAATGGGGATAATAAATACATACAACCTTATTTCACATGGATATTGTAAAGAAATTAATTCATGTTTGTGAAGCATTATCAGCTACTACAGTGATGAGCACCAGAGAAAACAAGAAGACAGTTCTTTCTCTGAAGAGTTTACCATCTAGAAACTGATCATGCCCCAGAAACCTTTGTGCCATTTCCTTTGATGCACTGCTACACTCAGAATAAATGTATATGAGAAATATTTGTGAAATATTATTTGCATTGCTAAAGAAACTCACTACATATAACTGTGCAAAAAACAGGGACAGATTCTTAGAGGAAGAAATTACAGAAGTAATGGGCCAAGGGGAATAAAATACACCAAAGCCTATATTCAGATATAGGACAGCATATTTAAGGCCAATTCTGCCTTTGCTTCATATTTGCTTCATGCTTTGTAAGAGCAGTATGATACATATGTATGTACAGCTATAGTATATCAAACCATAATCACAATGTAAAAAAATTCTCAAAACCCCATTAACAGCAGTAGGGGCTATTCCTTGTACATTCATTTGGAAACTAAAAGTTCACGAGTGCTCAAGGTGTTTCTATTTTGTGCCATTTCTGAAATTTGGAACAGAACACTGTACAAGAAAGTTTTGATACTGGTGGTACTGTAGAGTTAAATCATGGTTTTCTCCTACTTCAATATATACGGATCTTGAAGATATGAGAGAATAAAAGGAAGCATATTTTTACTGGTGTATTATCAGCAACATGGATGCTATCATAACCAAAGAAATGAGAACCGTTTCAACTTAGTTTGGCGGAAAGACAAGAGGTGAAGATGTTGGTGATCAGGATCGTCTTTCTTTTTAAAGGAGCAGCCTCAGCAAGACAGTTCTGAGACTAAATGTATTTCTCAATACCTGCCAGGAATAAAATCTCATAAAATTGCTATCATATTCTTGTACCAAACAGGAGATGGAAGATACCAAGAAGTTGGCCAATGTCTATACATATGTGAGAAAATCTTGAGCTCCAATTGGTACATGTTGCAAGATATTTTTCTCATGGGGCATTCTAGGCAACATCGAAAAGGGTATGCTGTACACAGAGATGTGTAATATCAGTAATTTACATCTGATGAGAGAATGGAACCACCAAGGACTACTCAACATAAGCCAAGATGTCAGCACAAGCTGGGCACCATCCAGTGTGCAGGCAATCAGTATGGTCTTTTACTGCTAGGGTCATGAAACACACTGTACAACCACCCCCACTTCTCCCTCCCCACAGACCCTGCCCCAGAACCCCTCCCCCCACACACAGACCCTGCCCCAGAACCCCTTCCCCTCACACAAACCCTGCCCCAGAACCCCTCCCCCCACCACACACACAGACCCTGCCCCAGCATCCCTCCCCCCCACAAACCCTGCCCCAGAGCCCCTCCCCCCACACAGACTCTGCCCCAGAGCCCTACGCCCTTTGACTCCCCGCAATGGTCCTCCCCCCGAACTAGTTCCCCGGCCGCTCCTCTCACACACCAGTTCTACTCCCTGCGGCCGCCTCTTCCTCCTCTCCCCCCCTTCCCGGCCCGCTCGCACCCACGTGCGCCGGGCCCGGCACGGGGGCATAACGTCACCTTGAGCCGCCTGCCTCTCTCCCTGGCCCCAGATAGACACGCGCACGCTGTACGCCTCACCCAAACCCCGTCCTCAGCCGCCGCTCACCCTACCCGGCTGCTGCCCTCAGTCCCGCCCCGCCCAGCCGGCCATTGGCCGCTTCTGCGCGGAGTGTCGGGCCAGCTCGGCTCTCACGATTGGGTACCAGCTCGGGTCCGGAAGGGGGGGAGGGGGAGGCTCACTGGGCTGTGGGCGGGGCGGCCTGGCACGTAGGGGTCACCCCTCCCCCATAGCGGGGTACCCGGAACGTAGGGGTGACCCCTATGGGCGGGGCCTTGGCCCGGATAAACCGGCTCCTCGGCTCAGAGGGTGTCCGGGAGACGCAGGCCCTTGGGGGCGGTGCTACGAACAGTCCCAGGCCACTGCCCCCCCTCTCGCCCAGCCCGGGTGTGGGTCAGTCACGGGACTCCACAGACAGGCCCAGGTGGGCAGTGCCATGAAGAGCAGTGGGCCCAAAGCCACCCTGTACAGACCAGGGCTGCAGTGCTATGCTGCGACACTGCCCGGCCCCACCTACGCCGAGGGGCGCGGTTAGGGTTACCAGGCGTGGCCTGGTTGAAAAGGGACCCTGGCGGCTCCGGTCAGCACTGCCAACCAGGCCGTTAAAAGTCCGGTCGGCAGCGCTGCAGGGCTAAGGCACCGCGCTGCACCCCTGAAGCAGCCAGCAGATCCAGCTCCTAGAGCGGGTAGCCACAGGGCTCCGCGTGCTGCCCCTGCCCCAAGCACCAGCTCCACACTCCCATTGGCCGGGAAACTCGGCCAATGGAAGCTGGGGGGGGGGGCGAGTGCCTGCAGGCAAGAGCAGCGCACGGAGTCTCCTGGTCCTACC